TTGCGATCCGTTGCCGGACACGGAAAAAGACAAAAAAAAAATAAAATAAAATAAAAATAAAACAATAAAATAAATAAAAAATAAAAAGAATGGAGAGCCAGAGGGCAGCAGAGGGACAAGACCATGGGGTGGCAGATGTCGGATGAACTGAGGAGCAGGGAAAGGTTCAGGCAAGAGAGGTGAGAGGCCCTGAACCAGAGAGGTGGCACAAGCAGGGGTGGGTGATGGACTCCAGCCAGACCCTCCCTCCACCCAGGCTGGGGGTTGGGGAGCATCACCTCTGGGGATGGCAGCTCCTTGGGGTTCTGGGAGTCCAGTGCCTCTGTCACCAGCATGTCCCCCAGGATGGTGCGGAGGTGGCGGGCCATGGTAGCCTGCTGCTCCAGCCCACAGTGGTTCTCAAGGGACAGGATGACAGGGTATGGGGATAGCTGTGGGAGGGAAGGGCAGCAGCTCAGAGCCATTCCCCTTCACCCTGCCAGTAGCCCCCACACTTGGCTGCCAACCCCTTCAGGACAGGCAGGCAAAGACAGAGTCTGTAGAGCCCCCTGGGTGGACTGAACGGGTGGGATGCGGGACACACACTGGGACCAGTGTGTATGTGGAGGGACAGAGGTCAGATGTAGGGCCTCAGGGAAGGGGTGGACTGACTACCTGGGAGGCTGAGGACGGCTACAGGAATGGTTTTCTTTTAATAAATGCTCTTTATGTGTTAATGACATTGACCATGTCAGTTATGTTACAAATTCTTCCCCTGCCCCACCATTTGCTGATGGTGACAAAATTTGCGATGTTTATGTAGATGCTTCTGTTGAGCTTCTCTAATGGCTTCCTCTTTGAAAGTCATGATTAAAATCTCCTTCCCTACTCCCAAGATTTTCTTCTGGAAATTCTGTGATTGTAGTACATTTATTAAATATGAGGGTGGGAGAAGGGAGCAACTCATTTAGTTTTATTCTACCCCATTGGACAAGGATCCCAGTGGCACTTGGTGAATGAATGGTTCCCTTCAGAAGCACCAAGGGCAGCGGGCATGTGGGCAGGGCGTGGGGGTCCCAGGGGCTCACCGTGAAGGCATGGTCACGCACAGCTTGGACCACGTCTCGGAAGAGGATCTTGGAGGTGAGCGTGTGGCCGTGGTAGATGACGGGCTCCCCTCCTGGCCCCTCCCAGCAGTCCAGCTCCACACAGCGGCAACCCTGGGCAAAGGCCCTGTGGACGGACAGATGGACGGACAGGAAAGGTGCTGTGTGGGTGCCACGAAGCAGGGCAACTGGTGGGCTGAGCTCCCAGACGTGCTCACCCACGACAGTACCTAACATAGGCCTCTGTGCTGCTGGGGCCCCCGATCTGAGAGTCGGTCAGATAGGTGTTGTGAGAGGAGGAGATGAAGTAGTGCGCCAGGGGCTGGCCCATGTCCTGGAACACGCCCGTGTGGGCTGTGTCCAGGGCGGCCCCCTCGGGCGACAACAGGTACATCATGAAGCCATCCAGTGTCATCAGTTCGTGCTGCTTGGCTACAGGGATGGAAGGGAGAGAACGTCAGGCCATATGAAGGATTCCTCACGTCTGGGCCCAAATGCCCCCCAGGCTCACTCAAGTGATAATGACCAGACTATCTATCGACTAGACTCTACATATGAGACACATTTAATCTTCAACCAAATTCGGGGAGAAAGACACATTATTATGCCACTTTACAGATGTGGAAGCTGAGCCTGGAAGAGGCGAGGTAACCTGCCCAACATGGCACCCACAGCCAGTCATAGCAGAGCCTGCTGCACTGGGACCCCCGACCTGTCAAGTGCCAAGACCCGGGCTGTGCTGACCCGCTCCCATCTCCCAGCCCCCTACCTGTTTCATTGAGCTCATAGGTCTGGATGAGCTGCTGGGCGTGGGCCAGTGTGGCGCCGTCCTCGCCCTGGTCCTCCAGGAACTCCAGCAGCTCAGGGGCGCTGAGCACGTGGTCCTCGCCCGAGTACCGATGGAAGATCCCCTCCAACTCCGGGCGTTTCAGCAGCCGCCGCAGGAACTCTTCGATCTCAGCCCCCTCCAGCCGCTCGTTGTTGGAATGGTCACATTCCTGGGGAGCAGGGGGAGATGTTCAGAGGGGGACGCCCTGAGAAACTTGGCCCCATTGACACACCCGTCATCTACCACAGCAGGAAAGGCAATGTCCTCATTTCACAGGTGGAGAAACTGAGAGCAAGACTCTGGTCACTCAAGCTCACACAACTGGTAAATTACAGGGCTGGGATTTTAGGGAAGGTCTCTTGGGTTCAATGCCTGTCCCTCTGCACCATGACCTACTCCAAGAATCAAGATGTGGGATGAAACACGATGACCCTGGGGCAGGACTGAGCCCTGTACCACAATGCCCCTCCCGTGTGTACATGTCCACATTCTTACACTCACACATTCACAGCCAGGGTCAATGAGCAAAAATAAATGAAAATTCATGGAGCAGTCCACATGGAGCTGTTGGCCCAAGTGCACAAGTACCACAGGTTCCCCCGTCTTTCAGGGTCACAGGCTGGTCAAGTCAACATCCACACAGGTGTTTGTCACGTGTTCGGACTGGGCCATAGATGCACAGTGCACCCCTGTGTGCCCCCTGCTCCCACATGTGAATTGGACATGGTCACATGTGGAAGTTCTACATGTGCCACAGTAAAGGGTCCCTCAGGGTGAGGGTTTCCTCGTGTGTCTACGTGCACGTGTCCGCAAGCCGATGCCCAAACTCCCAAGTGAAAGCCACACATGATCACGTGTACAAACACGTGCCCTGCAGACTTAGAGAAATGGAAACAGCTTTGCTGCTCACTTTGGAGGGGTGGAAGGTACCACCCTACCCTTGGGCCCTGCCTGAGAGTGAAGAAAGAAGTTCCGGGCGGCCACTCCCCAGTCCCATCCTGGCCCTGTGGCCTCTGGAGGGGAAAAGGGTAACTAGGCCCAGATGCTGCCTTTCCACAGAAAGAGGCCTCTCCCTCCAGAGAAGCTGGAGGCGGAGGCCGGGGTTCAGCAGGCGGCCCACCTTGAAGAGGCGGTAGGCGTACATGTCATTCATGTCCACGTTGACCATTCTGAGCAGACTCTTGATCTCCTTGAAGCTCATCTTGCTGTCCTGGTCGGAGTCCGCCCGGTGCAGATAGAAGTGGATCCAGGTGTGCGTGCTCAGGAAATACCAGCAAGGGCTGCTCCACCGCCCCCGCCCCCACCCTTGCTAGCAGGCAACTGACAGGTAAGTCACCGCCACCACCCAGGCTGGGGCTCCCCAAATTGGAGGCTGTACTTTCCTCTTGGCCTGTGCACTCCCTGAGCACAGCAGCAGTGTCCCATCCATGGGACTGGGGCTCCGCCTGCAGACAGCCCTGGGCCCTCCCCTGCTGGGAGCTCAGGCCAGGCGAGTATCCCCACCCCGGGTTCCCCCCCCCAGGGTAGGGC